ATTCTCCCAACCCCACCCGAGAATTCAGCTCGAGTCAAATTAATCCAGGTGGATGCCTTCTGGTGCGTTAATCAAAAAGAAAAGAAAAAAAAAGAAAAAAGAAAACATAGCTAACCTCGGATAAAAAGTGCAAGATGCTCCACGTGCTCCGACTGAATAAATTCAAAGGAGGGTTGCTACCCCTATACCAATCGTCGGGTCTGCTTCGAGACTAACCAGTTTATTTCGATAATTATCCTCGACTTGCTGAATAACTTTTTTCGACCCCCCCCCCTTCCCTCCCACCGTCTCTACGAACCACTCTCCCTATTTCCCCAGAGTACAGCGTCAACCACCCTCGGTCTACGTAGTGGTGGCTTCGATCGTTTATTTCTTTTTTAATTCCTTTCACATAAGAGCCGTTCGATCGGGAGAGCGAGGATTTCACATGGGAGAAATTATTTGCAATAGCATATGTATAAGTATTCTGTAACGGGAGATGCAGATATACCAATATCATATATATACAGACCCGAACATATACCCTTCGTCGTATAATTGATATGTGGAGCCTGTTATATCGTTAGATTGAATCAACCGTAACTAATGGCTTATCAGAAAATTAACCTCCCCCCCCCCCATTAATTGTATCCATTGTAACGTTTCCATTGATTGATATATCGTTCGTGGCAATTTACAAAAATTGTACGTTAAACCTTGTCTCGGTCTCGAACATCGCTGCTCTTCGCTCCTAGAATCGATTTCAAGTAACTCTCCGTAAAATCTCCATAGACTGTATGCTTCCTAAGGGAGGTATCAGAGTCCAATGGATTTAACGTAATTTCGGAGGAAAATAAAGGGGATGTCTTTGGCGTCCCCGTGATTCCCGTTGATTCAACGTGGAGCGAATAGGGTGAGGCCGACCACGTTTCTCCGGCACCAGGACTGCTTAATTCGTAAGCTCGCCCGCTCGTTTACGTTAGTACTTAGGGGTAGGTCCGCCCCTAGCGTTGACTTTAACTACCAGACTCGAACTCCTTCCGGCGCTAACGGGCGTCGCTATCTCTTCGCCAAAGTCCGGATTTTAATCCGCCGATCCCAGGCGATATCTACTGGGATTAGGCGGATGGCGAAGGAGGAGAGAGAGAGAGAGAGAGAGAGAACAAGAGAGAGGAAGAAGGAGAAGGACTAGATATACAGGAGGGTGGAGGTGAACGGATGCTGAATTCAACGACTAGTAATTGCGGGCAATCTTGAATCTGAAGTCTGACATTGATTCTACTGATAAATTCAGTCTAATCCTAATAGGCCATTTACGTAACTTGAGTTTACCTCAAGGTTATATCTACTTGATTCGTCCCTATCGATAATGTAGCGTATACGTAAGTACTGTAAGATTTGGAAATACTTAGCCCGGATCGATGTTCAATTTTATATTTAATCATAGCTTTGGCTCCCTTGTTACTCGAACGCCGAAATACCTGCAGCCAGGAATAAAATGGGGAGGAAAGAAAAAGAAATCGTTATTCCGACGAAGCACACGGAATAACAAGGATCCGATCAAAGTGAGATCTCTTGGACTATCTCCGACGAATAAATAATCTCGGATAGATATTAAATGTCAGCCAATTTATATCCAATGGATTAAATAGCAATTTGGTATTCGGGCGAGCGTTCTGAATTTTAATGCTACTTAAAGATCCCTTTGACCTTCTGAAATTTTCCTGAACCCTTCCGGCCGACAGGGGGTAGGTACTCCCTTTGAACTGAAAAAAGCTTTTTTACGTCATTACCTATAATAATTCCTCGAAACCACGTGTACCCTAAAAATACTTCATTTTTTATTTGACTTATATTTTATTTTTCGTATAACGATTCTATTCTTTATTATTATTATGCTTTAGTATTTTTATTTTTACGTAAAAACTCTATAACTCTCTCGCCTGGGTGGGAGGCGGTATATTAGTATTAATAGTAGCATAACGGCTCCAAGTATCCCTGGCAGCCACTCATCGCCCACCCCCTCCAACCCCCTTGAACCCCCTTTTGCCAGTGTAACGTCAGTTCGAGTAGTTCCCTCTTAAGGTAAAGCTCTCGCATTTTTTTTTTTCAACCGTAAAATCTTTACTACGGTTATTAGAGGGACTTTACGGCCACGTTGCTATACGGCCCAATTTCGAGCTAATTTTATAATGTAAATTATGCAAGATCCATCAGTCCTCTCCTACGAAAGACCCTCTGGGCCCCCCTCGCCCTTCTCTGCCACTGAATTCAAGAACTGGCACGGTTGGCCACCCTCGTATCGGTTTATTACTCCTCCCGCGAGAGAAAGAGAATAAAGGACAAGGGTTGATAGAGTGAGAGAATTTTTATAAAATCCGATAAAGGGAAACCAAAAAGTAAAATTCGTATATTTTTCATGCGCTTGAATTAAATATGTCGGCTTACATTTTTCATGTCTGTAAAAACCTCGTATACGCGACTATATGCTTGCGTTGGTTTTTCTTTTACTCAAAGCATACGTGCATCTATGGACCCGGAATTTTGGAAATCCAATTATTTCGAATTTATTTCGACTTTGAAATCTAGTCGCTCTTTTTTCTCTTTTTCTCGCTCGTCTCTATCTCATGGGATTTCATTGGCTACGCTTGTATCTGTTTGTACAACGAAAATTGCGAATGAATTTTAAAAATTTATTTAATATTAATTAAAATAAAAAATTTTGAACCGAGTAGGTAGGTTACATATGTTTCATCGGTACGTGTTACGTTCTACCGTATAAAATGTTCATATGGTATATTACCTGTTGTAATATGAATTCCCAGAAGTTTATTCAGCAAAGAGAACAAATATCACATTGCACTTTGAGCTCCACGCGTGGAATTTTATGATGAATTAATTACTATCAATTAAGCCAAAAATGTAACATATTAATTATTTTCCATATTTTTATGCATTTCAGGTAAACCGGAGCCCAAAGTCAGGTGGCTGATCAACGGAAAAATACGGGACGAAGAATCCGAGCATACTGCCGGTGACGTCATTGAAAATAAGTATGTATATACATGTTAATTTTTCTCATGTAAATATACTGTTACGTAAAAAAAATTTTGCCTCGTGCAAAAGTAGTCACTATTCAAGTATACTTGTTTCACGAAAAATAAATTTCTTTGTTCAGGTTAATTCTGCCTTCGACCACTCGTGCAGAGCACAACTCCGTTTTCACGTGTCAGGCACTGAATACCGATCTGGTCGAGCCAAAGGAGACGTCGCTTGTCTTGGACCTCAATCGTGAGTAACGGCGCCCTTTAAGGGCTATCGGTATACACAATGCATAAGTTTATTTCGCGATTATTATCCATGGGCATTGTTATTCTTTACGGAGGGAGGAGAATCGATCGATTATAATCATATACAAAATTCCCAGTTCGATACTTAAGTAATAACACGGATTATGAATAGACAAGGAGATTAAAATTTAATAAGGAAAATATCGAAGATCGATACGCGTACGATATGGGCTTTTGACTTCTAGTATTTCCGCAACCGATGATTGGACGGTGGTGGTGATGGGAGAGAAAAAAGTTGAAAAATGTTCGGAAAACCTTGGACAAAGTTTTTGATTAGCTATCCGGCTCCCGTCATCGTTTCATCAGGAAATCCGGTATCACGATACTTTGATTAACGATATATTCGATTTCGTATTAAGATTACGTGGGGTTTTTATCAAAGACGTCATTTATACGTATAAACCGGAAGAAGGTACACGGACAGAATTTTCAGTTTAAAATAACAGTCAAACGCGGGATAAATCTTGGAAAAAGTAAAATTTCATAAAATTATACTATAAAAGAGTAGAAATTAGTGCATTTTAGTATTTTTTTACTATGCTGACTGATAAAATTTAAGAGATCTTAAAATTTGCTGCTCTGTCGATAAAAAAAAACTACCTGCCTTACCGACGCGTCTCAATGTTACCAGGTTCATGGGTAACTTTTGCCGCGCGTTCCAGACGTAAACTTACTAGAATGTTTTCGCCGTCAAACGAAACATTTCTAATTTATATTCCGTACAAGTTTTACCTGCAGTCAGAGACCAAACGAGCGTCTATACGTCTGATATAAAATTTTTCCTTTCCTTACGTAATAAAGAAGAAGACGAGCGCCTGACTCGAATTGAGCTCCAACAAGCGAACATTCGAACCTCACGGCGTTTGTCCTTCGATTCGCAGTAGCGTCGAGGGCAAAGGTCCTAAAAGCAGAACACATCGTTCACACCGTCGACGTCGATCCCGTTCCACTAGGCTCAGTCAGGATCCGCGTTGATAGGAGTTTCGACGAAGAGAAGAGCGAGGACGTGGAAGGAGGTTCGTGCTCGGGCTGAAAGAAGAAAAATGAAGTTGAAAAAGCCAAAGACCGATAAAACGTCTTACTAAGGGTTGTCAGGGTGAAAATAGGGTAGCGGAAGGAGGAGAAGAGGTCTGGGGGTGGTTATGGGGTCGGTATGGGGCTGAAGTACGTACAGAAGGTGGGTTGAGGAACCCTGGAGTCGTGGTAGAACGGATCGCGTGCTAGTTAGAGTCGTCGACGTTTCTACGAAATTTCCACCTGGCGGTAGGGGGGCGAAGGTGCTGAAGGAGGAGGTTCCCTTACGGTTCGGCTGCATGATTTAACTTTGGAAACCTACCCTAACCTTAAAATCGAGAGAAAATATAGAGGGCGCGTGCTTGACGGCGGACGCGAACGAAGAGGAAGATCCGAGGTTTGTGACAGGGTAGGAGGATGGTGGAGAAAGGAGGGGCGGAAGTGGGGGGGGGGGGGGTTGAAAAA